TAAAGGTCTTTATATATAACATACATTTGCAAAGTCATCATCTCACAAGCAAATATATAAATGTTAAGGAAATTGTGCTCATTATTTAAATACATGATAATCGCAAATATATAAATGTAAGGAAATTATGCTCATTATTTAAATGCAGGATAATCGAAGGCCTACTTGTGTTTTATTGACCGTTAGATTAGAAGATTCTCTTTTGTTGCAGTGCCTCAAGAGATTCACCGACACATCTTATAGACAACTGGATAGACAAACACCCCGATGCAACTCTCTCAAATAAGGACAACGCCACGAGGTTGCCGAATTTCAAGTGATCCTGGACTTGTAAATAATTTTAAATTTAAATTATTAAATTTAGATTACTAAAAAGGCAAGGAAATTGTGCTTATTATTTAAATGCAGGATAATCAAAGATGTACTCATGTCTTATAGACTGATATATTAAAAGATTCTCTCCTATCACAGTGTCTCGCGACATTAACTAGTGTGCCTTATAGACAACTTGACAGACAAACACATTGATGCAACCTTCTCAAATGGAGACAAAGCCGAGAGGTTGTCAAAATTTCAAGTGATCTTGGACTTGTAAATAATTTTAAATTTGGACTATTAAATTTTGTGTGAGCTTGACTTGAATGTGAAAAATAATAAATTTGGGCTATGCTTGCTTGGGTCGAAGCTTAGGGCTGTCAAATTAAATTAAATATGAAACATTACAAATTAAGAGGCTAAATTTAAATTGAAGATCAAATTTTATAAATTGGGGCTAAGCTTAACATAAATATCATAAAGTGGGGCTAAGTTTAAGACATGGATGTTACTTTTAAATGCTGAAATGAGGAATTAATATTTCAAAGCTTGTCACCTGATTCACAATACACATGCTAGCGAACAGAAGACAGTCCCTTTTTAAAGCCTAAAATTATAATGGGTTTGCAAATACTTTAAGTTCTGAATGAGTTCAAAATTTATATAAAGTTCATGGTTATCTCCTAAGTTAAATGAGATATGTTGAAATGTGAGTCATTTTTTTAAGACTTAGATGAGTACCATTTAAGATACTTGAGCTATTCATGCTTCAAGTTATATGTATAAACAAATTAATGAAATATATTTTCAAATGCACACTCTAAACAATGTATTGAACGCTCAAATACTAGATTCGAGAATATTGTGAGAGTTAATCTAGTAGCCTTGTCTATAGGACAGTTGTAAGTCTCACTTAACTTGTCTGATCCTCCTCCTCGTAAGGACTGAAGTTGATGAGTTTAGAAAATTCGAAATAAATTTTCAAATCCAAAATTGAGAATTTACAAGTCTAAATCACCTAGTTCGATCTTTCTACTTGTAATGACAAGAGTCGACATAACTCATACCCTAAAAGTCTAAACTAACAGAACAAAATGCTCTCTTCAAATATAAAAGCTTTAAATATTCAATTTTTCGATGATGCTTGAGTTGATAGAATAGTTCAACCTTTAAATCAAAATTTTCAAAATAATCAATTAAAATATCTAAGCTAAAAATCAATTACCAAAGATTAAAAGCAAATTCTCGCAACAGTTTGTTGATTTCTTATTAATTTTCTTATTAATTTTAGCTCACAAAGATTGAATGTCATATTAAGTGTATCCCTATATTGACAATCAAAACAGTCATATGCCAATAAGGACATGACTCGAGTTCTATGCTTGCGTGGCTCGACCATCAAATGACACCATAAAATAACAGTTAAGACCAGAGCCTTCTGACCGGGTGGTTATGCCAAATGACACTATAATATTACGACCATGATCTCAGTCTATATGTTCCCCAATTACTTTCTACTATTTGAGTTGTAAACCATAAGAGTACAATTGATTGACACAAAATTTTATGTTGGCTAAGATTGATTACATTTGTCCCCTTATAAAAATATCCATCCAAGAGCTACATAAATCTCTTGGATGACACAACTCATGGCTGCTGACAAAAATTTTTCTGTCAGATTAGATCGACTAGCTCTTTCGACTAAGTAGATCAGAGACCACGACGACCCGAGATGACAGAACCATAGGATATTGATCGAGTTTCATCTTCTTTTCCTCACCATCCGCCTTAAGCTTCTAGTGATAGATTTTACAATATAAAATATTCTATGTCGACATCTACTATATGTTGAATATTCAATTATTAATGATTAACTTTAATCAAAAGTTCTTTCCCATTATCAGGAGGGGTAATTAATCATAGAGTCTTATAAGAAACCTCAAACCCCAGATCAAAAAATCCTCTCAAAATGAAGGCAAAATCTTTGGACAATGACTTATCAACAATCCAATCCAAAGCTCTATCAATAAACAAAAAAAAAAAAAAAAATGCAAATAGGGCTGAGGAATCGTTAATTTTTGCAGCCCACAACATAAACCTTATAAAAATAAATATCAAAATCTAGATGCTAGATATGTAAATATCTGATAGTTGTGTAGCACATAAATCCCCATAAAATATAACAACTATAGAATAGTTCGTCCCATCTTATTTTTAATTATAATACTCAATAGTTCTCAAAAGATTTAATTTCTTATTTGGATTGCAATTATGAGGCAAACTATAATTCAAACTTGTTCTAGCATAATGAAAACACATACCTGAGCTGTGCAAAGAGCAGTTCATACTAAATTGTTGACAACATAAATGCAATTCATGTCAGAGAAAATACAATTGTATTCACTATAAAAATCGTTTATGAACAAAACCAAAAGCTCTTAAAACAAATGTAAGGCTGAACTCAAACACCACAAGGTGAGGCAACTAAAAACATTTATTACAAAACCTCACCAAACATGAATACATTCACAGAATCCTTCACAAAAAAATGAACAAATAATATGAAACCAATTGTGGTTGAGAAGTATAAAAAGAAATCTCTATTTTCCATATCATGATACACAGAAATCAAAATCTTCAAATCTTCTCCTCTGAAGATGGCCTGTTCTCGGAGTCAAACAGACTTGATTCTTCAATCATTCTCACCACCTCATGAATCTTAGGGCGTTGCTCTGGAACTTTTGCAACACAGGCCATAGCAATCTGAAGCATTTGAACCAGCTCTTCTTCAATATTCTCATACTTCATTAGCTCCACATCAAAAACTTCAGCAGTCCATTCTTCTCTCAGTACAGACTGAACCCATCTTGGTAAATCTGCAATATCATCGCGCCCCGGGGACTGAAGTGGAGCTTTTCCGGTTAACATCTCTAGGAGTAGAACTCCGAAGCTATAGATATCCGATTGCTGAGTGAATCTTCGTGATTGGAAGGTTTCAGGAGCACGATATCCGACAACAGCACGTGAAGAAGAAGCCGGTGTTCTAGTGATGGAGGCCAGGCCGAAGTCGATGACGGAGGCTTGGCGTTCCGGGGTGACGAGGATGTTAGAGGATTTGATATTTCCATGAACAAACCTTCCATTGCCTTCGGCATGAAGGTGAGCTATACCGAGTGCAGCTGTCCGTGCGATTTTAACTCGAGAGGCCCAGTCCAGTGGGATCCTCTCAGCACCTCTGTTGTGCCCTGTTCATGAAAGTAGAGAGAAGATAAGAGGAAAAAGTTCAAGATTTTGACTGTTGAGATGGCTGTACCAGTAGTTTCAGAAGACAAGGGTAGCCATTTTGAAGGATAGAAATTGCGGGCAAGCCACATGTACATAAATACCACCCAATTCCTATGTATTTAAATATCTAACCCCTAAACTTTGGTTTTTCACATTTATACCACCCAAATCTTTTATGCCACATAAAAAAATACTACCATTTTAACTTAAAAAAAGTGAAATACACCTTTTCATGCATAGGTAGGGTGTTATGTAAGCAGAAATTGAAGTTTAGGTGTCGAATATTAAATCTTCCATGATTATATTGCTTTTATTATAGCTTACAGGTTATGAATTGGGAGCATAGAAATAATTATTTGGCATTGAGGACTAAGTTTTACTAAGTTCTGATGAGTTAGAATTCTTCAGTTCAGTCTATCTTATGGGAAAAAAATTCTTAAGCAAAGAATCATCGTGTCGTTTGCAACAAAAGAACATTGTTAGAACAAAGGGATTAAGTTTGTTTTGTTGAACCAAGTTTCCACAATGTTTTCGAAGCAAATATGAAGTGAAAGGTCTGGCCACGTGTGAGTATAGAGAAACTCATAAAAGACATCATATAAATCATAAGGATTAGAATCTCAATCATTTATGGGGAAAGTAAATGTATATTCTCTTATTTGGTAGCTAAAATTTCCATGAAAATTTTAACTTTATATGCTTGGTGTGCTTTAAAAATCAACGATAACTTATTCAACATTAGAGTAAAGCATCAAAATAGTCATCTAACTGTTTACATGGAATCATTTTAGTTCAGAGTAAATAAAGATGCTAAATCGGTCCTCATATTTTTTTAATGGAGGCTAAAATAGTCCTCATTGGTGACTATTTCAATCCATATTAAAAAAATCTAGGAATAAAATTGGAACTTTTATAGATTCGGGACTGAAATAACTCCCTATGAAGAAATAAATAGTGGACAATTTTGACAACTTTCTCTATAACATCAGCCCCTCTCAACTCCTTTGAAGAATGTAGAGCGATTTCAGTGATTTTCTATTTCAATTATAATGCCTCATTGAAACAATGCTCGCGTGCATATAAAAAAAAGGTTCAAGACTAGTTTGATCCAAAATTTTCATAGTATGGTATTGAACTTTTTCATGTTAAAAGTAGACGAATGTTTTAGAAACATACCATGTAAGAGGGTTGATAAACTCCCGCTCGGAACGTAATCATAAACAATAAGCTTTTCATCCTTTGAGTAGTAATAAGCACGGAGCGGTGAAACATTTGGGTGTGGCCCAATCCTACCTATTATCTCCATCTGTTGTTCAAACTCTCGCTTCCCAACCACCATTTCTTTCAGCCTTTTAATCACCACTACCGTTCCGTCCTCAAGAACGGCCTTATATGTCGTCCCATAGCTTCCCTTGCCGAGAACTTCAGCAGATGCTCTCAGCAAGTCCTCTAAATCAAAGGTATAAGAAAATCCCCCAAAGAAAGCTAACTTATTCTGCTTAGCTTCTTGAACCCCAATGCTGTAGTCCTCTTCAGGCTTTTCACTCCTCGCACCAGTAATAAAGGTCTTTTCCTTGGGCGGTTTGTTACCTTCAGCACATTTTCTTATCAAAATGCACGTCAAGAGAATAATTACCACAAGCAGCATCAAGGCCAGAACGCCAGCAGCTATTGCTATCACCACCTTCAAACTCAACCTTTTCCAGAAACTTTTATGTTCTTCTGGACTTAATGGCGGTGAAGGTGAGGTTGTGGGCGAGGGTGAGGGGGAAGGAGGAGGAACTTCATGGCATTGCTCTAAAGGAGGACCACATAGTAATGAATTTCCCAGGAAGGATTCCTTGGGAAACCTTTGGAGGGAGATTGGTATAGGGCCACTAAGGTTGTTAAAGCTTAAATTTAGATGCTTTAGTCCTGCAGACTTGAGTTCAGGAAGAGGACCAGAGAGAAAATTGTTCTGCAAATATAATGAATTTAGCTGGGTCAAATTCTGAATCTCCAAGGGGATTTCTCCACTAAACGAGTTAAAAGACAGATCAACAAATGTGATTCCTGATGCATTTAATTTGGGTAAATCACCGGACAAATTATTGTTTTGAAGGAAGAGGGAGCGAAGAGATGGAAGTGATGAGACATCTGGGGGGATACTGGAAGCAAGGCCATTGGAGCGGAGGCTTAAAACCTGAAGGGCGTCGAGTTTTCCTATTGTATTTGTAGGAATTGGTCCGAGGAGACCGATCCCTGGAAGCCTTAAAGCAACAACACGGCTTCTGTTGGGCGTACAGCTGACTCCAACCCACGAAGAGCAAACAGATGTATCAGAACTCCAGTTGAGCTTTCTACCACGTGGGACAGTAGTAGCGAAAGCAAGGAGCGCTTGCTTGTCATCATTCAAGTCTGCAATAACTGGAGTTGTGATAAGTAGGAGAAGAAGTAGAAATATTTTTGGTGGGAGCTTGGGATAGCTCATGGAAAATTACTCAGAATAGGAGAAAAGAGAAGGTTCAGAATTTTCGAAATAGCTTCAGAGGTTTCCTCCTCTTCTGCTGCAGAGATAAAGGACGAGAATTAGTGGATAATTTTAAGTATTAGTAGCAAAGAAAATAACATCACATGAAACATGCTACTTGAAAAGGAAAAGAACCATGCAAGGGCATATGATTTTCATTCATCAAGCATTAAACTGAAATGAGGAAAGAAAAAAAAAACAAGAGCATCACTACAGATGACATACAAATCCACACAAAAATAATTTGGGCCAACTTTCTTAGGAGGTCCAATCAGAATGAAGAACATTACAGGCATTCGCTTGGATAGAATTAATATTATTATTATTATTATTTTTTTTGGGAGTATAGCATTCCTCCAACAAAATTTGTTGGGAGGATGCCAACTGCTAACAATTAAGTAAATGGCTGCGTCCTAAGAAAGGCCCAAGTTTTGATTTAATGGGTTTGTTGGCTCTGTGCCAACCCAGTTACTTAGGCTGGGGGGCATACATCCAAGGATGGAGTTGAAAACCTCGACAGTAGAGCAAGCTCAAAGAGAATACTTGATTTGAATTATCTCTCATAACTCTTATTAGAACTTGCTATTTTGATTGATCAAAACCTATAAGCATAAGTTAAATAAGAATTTGACATAGGACTTGTTGTCTTGACATTAGAATGATATATAGAGCAAGGTCTTATGTTCCCGAACTGTTAAAAAGAAGACCAAATTAGTAGCTTTTACGATCTCACCCTGTATGCAAAGCAAGGTAGTCTGATTGGTTAAATTTAATGGGCTTGTGGTTTTATGTTTGTCAAGATTAATCGGATAGGAGCTATATCTATTAGAAGACCCAAGGAAGGGACTTAAAACATTGAAGGAAAGGAAAGCCCAATAATTTAAACTTAGATTATTGACTCAAATATGGAATTAGGAATTATCATGATTTGAAATTTGGAGGTTTACTCTATTTATGTGTTCCAACCATTAGAATGACATTAAAATTGGGAGTGATCCAATCCTTGGTTAGTTACCTAATCAAATGTTCTACATTGCGTGTATTATGATTGAGCTTGGGAGCATTAAGGTAATTAGTCCATCCAAAGGCTATTTCAATGATTGACACCCTAAAAAGCCATTGAGGACATTTTAAGGTAGTCAGGGGTGCCCCCTAACACAATTTTGAGATTGTTTCAACATTTGAGATGCATAATCAATTTTATTTTATTTTTTTGTGATGGTGCAGAGACCAATGCACTTAAAGATAGGCAAACAAGAATCATTTATGGACATTTATATATATTTCATAATATATGTAAATTGATTAAGGCATGTCGTATGATGGATTGGTGCTCAAAATGCTTTTGGATGAAATAGCATGCTTTTCCATGTGCATACACAATTATCAATATATCATCATGAATGTCGAAGTCCTTGTACAATTCAAATCAATTTTAGCTTGAATATTTGTTTTGATTGAGAGTTTGGTTTCTTGTAATTTATCAATAAGCCATTTCACAATTAGCTTTGACTTGACAATAACTTATCTAATGCCTTTTTTAATTTTTCATTTTGATTTGAACATTATTAACCATTTGTATTTTTGGGCAACTCATTCAAAGCTTTAAACAATATTTTTTTCTCTAATGTTGTTGAATTTTAAGAAATTATTCATTATTCATTTAGCAATACACTTTATGTTACAAAATCTCATTGCCAATTTTTTTTTTAAAAGCAATTTGAAACTTCTAACAGATATACATCTTTTGTGTTGTAAAAGAGCTTTATTGAACATATCATTAAATATAAATTCACCTGCAAGTAGTAATCATACCTGATGCAGAAAAGAAGATCAAATCCTTCTCCTCACCTCCAGAATACAGGAGACTCTGTATTAGCAGACAAAATAGAAAACTGTTAGTCCCAAATTATCAATGATGACGTTCTTTCCATTCTAGGGCGCAATCAGAGAACAAAAATGGTGAAATTTAATGGAGTACCTAGAGCACATGTTTTTGCTAAAGATTAAAAGTATTCAGCAGAGTCAAATCCGTGAGAGCCCCCAAACTCGAAAGTTTCCCGGTTGGACAGGAGGGCAGGTTGCCAACGGAGTAACTCCGATCACTCCAACAAAATAATGTGACGCAAGAAGCTTCAATGTCCATTAACGGTAACCACGATGAACACAAAACAAACCCTGATTTCTGAGCTAGAACCCCTGGCATCGGAGTTTCAGATCCTCAAATCCCTCGGAGCAGAAGAAAATCCGCAGGAGATTAAAACCATAGCTTATCTGGTAGAAACCGCGAGGATACCTCAGATTTCCATCCATGTAAGCGTATCGATCCAATATGCTCCCTCCAATGCTCTTACCGCTAAGAACTCAAAGCACGCCAGCTAGAGGAGTGATGAAGGCAGAAAGAGGAATAGTAGTTGCGGGGATTGGAATCTGAAGTTTGGCTTCTTCAGCAACGAAGAAAAAAGAGAGGGAGTTCGAGGGATTGCAATCTCAAGCCTTGGCTTGTTCAGCAATGGGATACCGTAGAGAGCTGGAGCCCATCACAGAGGAAAGAACTTGGAATCTCGAGCTATGGCTTCTTCAGAAATAGAGAAAGAGGGAAAGATGTTGACTAATTGAAATCTCAAGCTTTGGCTACTTTAGCAGTAGAGTAGAGAGAGAGAGAGAGAGATTAGCAGAGTAATTCTCTCTCCTCTTCGGCGTCGGTGGCATTGGTTGGATCTCAATTATAGGATCGATTTACTTGGAATAATGCTAAACAAAATCATTATTATTGTTATTATTGTTCTTGTTATTGTTATTATTCAAAATAAGATTTCAAAATATTATTTTAGAATTTTAATAGCACTTTCCCCCAAGCTTTTAAAAACATTTTATTAAATTATATAATTATTTCCATAAAATCTTATGAATTTAAAATTTTTTTGAATTTAAGGCTCCGTTTGGGGCAACATATCCATTGCGGAGGTGTTTTTGAAAACGTATTCTCATCGTTTGGAAACTGCATTTGAGCATCTTATCTGAAAATACAGTTGATTTTTTACACTAAAAGCGGAATGCGGGTCACAACCGGCGGCCCGTATTTTCAGGTAAGCGGCTTATCTGGATATCTTTGCACATGAGCAGATTATAAATAATCAACAGCTGCCCCAAACAGACTCTAAATATATGTATTTGCACATATTATTTAAGAAAATAAAAAGAAAATAAAAATAATTAGTTTTACATATAAAACTAGTTGTCTTGGAAGCTCCAGGGGGTAAAACATAGCTGGAGGCCATTCACAACAGTTTCCATTTTTCCAATGTCAAATAATTACTTGGTAAAAAAAAAAAAATAAAATTTACGATATCTTCAAAGCTTTCCTACAAAATAAAACATAAATGTTTATTTTTTTAAAATATATTAATTTAAAATATATAAGAACTCTTGAATTTTTGACTAAAAGTACAAAAAAATGAAAAATAAAATTTATGAAAATATTCTATAATTCCTATGTAACAACAATTGCATCAAAAATATATTTTTAATTTTTAAAAATAAATAATAGTGACATTTTTTTTTCTGTAGATACAAATTTTGTAGTGCGTATGTAAATATCTTAAAAATGCTGAAATTTTATTTTTAATAATTACAAAATATTTGAATTATTCGATTCTAATGTTTTGAGTCAATTTAAATTCTGGCATTTCAATAGCTTTTAAATGTTTTAACTGGTATTTATTTTTATGTGGCATTTATATAAGATAATATTATATCAGAGTGCTGGACGCCACGTTTCAAGCGGGCCCCACCATATATTGACTAGTATTAAGAATGATGGGGCCAGCTTGACACGTGGCGCCTCACCATTGGACTCCGAATGCATTGATGTAATATTTTTTCCATTTACATACCTACCACACAATTCTAATGTATTTATATGTCTAATAAATACATAAGAATTAGGTGGTATGCATGTAAAACTCCATTTTTGTATAGAGATTAGTTCTTCCCATTCCAAGCCTTTTGTCCTTTTAAGAAATCATTTCAATTAATAGCATCGACAATAAAGGTTGAAACTGAAATTAAAAATTATAAAGTAAGCCAACGTGATGTATTTTAAGGTCTCTCCCTAATGTTGAAAGGAAAGAGAAGAACATCTGTCACGCACACACGCAGAGGCTGACGGCATACTTAATTTTTAAAATTTGTGCACGTCAAAATCACAACTAATACTCCTTTTTTGAGTCAAAAGTATAAAGAGTCAAGATAGTTCAACCCTATGCTTCGATCAGAGGGAAAAAAAAGTGGCACTAATTTTATTACATACATATGCCGGCTTTATATATATATATATATATATATATATAT